ATCTCTACTCAGAAATGGAAATCTGCTAATTTTCATTTTCTTCGAAGCAGCTTACGTTAGGATAACAAGATAAAGTCATCATATCATATAATATGATAGTTACAATGTGTTGTACCAGTCTTCATGGATATAACTAGCATGTCATATAAAAAATGCGCAAATCTCTAGAATGTTCAGAAACTCCTACAGATATTCGAAACTGGCAGATATATGCCCGGGTTTCTTCACGAGAAACAATATAGAAGAGAGAGACAAAACTGCAAGCTACAGGTCGCTGAAAGAGGAACGCGGCTACCATGGAAAATCTTCCATCAATTTGAACGAAATGCTTTGTAATAACTGATTGAAACCAGATTAGTCGCTTTTCTGGCATGACCTACATCATCGAACCCCTACTCCATTTTGGGGGATGTCGTTCCCCTTTCCCGCGTTGTTGAGTTAAACTCGTGCATAAGGGGATCGAGTGGGGAGGGGAAAAGGGATCCCCTTCCCCACGCGAACCCGTATGCACTGGGGTTCGTTCGATCAATACCTCGGAAACCATTCACACCATCCTCGCTGAGGTGCAGGGGAGAAGATAGCTCCCCTCCCCTCTGTCATGGCATGTTTCAGTGGAGGGGGTCGTTCCCTAAGAATCCGACTCCCCTCCCCTCCCCAGCTAGGACGTACGTGCATGCGGGCCTAAAGCTCAAGAATTTCTTCTGAAAAAGGCAGTCGCCAAAGCCGTTCCTCATCTCTGTAAGCACGAGGGCAGGATATCTTGTGGACACTTTTCTTTTGAAAATATAGCTGTTCAATGCTTGAAGAGTTGCAAGTTTTCTGGTTTGTGACTTTTTGGGCTATCAAAAGTAGCCTCAGAAATGGAGAAAATCAATCCTCTTTTTTGTTTCTCGCAGAATTAGTCCTTTTTTCGCGCATGTATTGTACTGAGCTTACAAAATAAACTGAGTACTAGCCATAATAGCTAAACTTGAAGGGAAATGTGATTCATTACAAAAACAAGGTTGCAGAAAGAGTTCTTGTTTTTCAACATGATTTTCTTCCCTGTTGTGAAATCGGTACAAGCGAAAGTCCGCTAAGTGAGACAATTGTTGCTTCTGATGGTCTCGCCGCATCCCGAGATATGTAGTTTAGGCAGGCGCTATAAAGGACTGCGATCGCCAGTCGCCAGTGTTGGCGACTACACGTTTGATACGTATCGATTAGCGGCTGGCGATCTCCCGTCGTAGCGACTGGCGGTCGCCAATATCGGCGACTACACGTTTGATACGTATCGATTAGCGACTGGCGATCGCCAATCGCCAAACAATTACCACACGTCAAATCGATACGTATTGAACGTGTAGCCGCCGATATTGGCGATCGCCAGTCATAGCCACTGGAGATCGCGTCGCCATGCTATACTCCTCGAGGAGTATAGCGCTGCCTTAGGCCTAAGGCATACCTCGCGCAATTTCGTCAAATCGCTAGATCCACGCAACTTGGCGGTTTGCCAGATGTTTACAAATCGACCGCGCGCGGGTCTAAAGTGCATAGGCCGTAGCTTACGTATGTAGCAAGAGCAAGAGTTCAACGTTTGGCGCATGCAAATCGCGCCTAGGACCAGTTATGAGGAGCCGCTGCAGTGCCAGATCGCGCAGCGACCGAAATCGCATGAGGTATAGTCGTCCTCCCCCCACTAGACACCCAGTGGACGAATTCGAATTTGAACTAGAGCACGCCGGTTGCGGCAGAGCGCGGCACCGTCAAATTCGTTTCAAGCTCTTGCAGTGTTCTTTTGTATTTCTCGTCGTTGCATGGTAATTCATTTATCTCATTGGCGTTTGTAATCAGAATTGACGAGTTTATTGTTGTTTAGCGATGTTTCATACCTTATGCTTCTCTCTAGCTCTATTTTCAAATAAAGTTGAAAAAACAGCACGAAACATTCCTCAAAAGCAATACATTCTCCAATCTCAACTAAGAAGACTGTTAGCACTCAAAAAATTGCATAAAACGTCGGAGAAATGCAAAGAAAAACTTTGAGTTTGAATGAAAAGCCGAATGTGCCGCGCTCTGCCGCAACCAGAATGCTCCAGTTCAAATTTGAAATCGTCCACTGGGTGTCTAGTGGGGGGAGGACGACTATATGTCTTAGGCCTTAGACAGATTTATAGCTCGTCAGAAGTTTCGCAGAATATTCATTACCTCTGCACCAACCAATACTTCGGGAATGATATTCACGAAAGTTCCCGCGAAATGGGGTTTTCCTGCGAATAAAGCTTCGGACAGATTCACGCAATTTGATCGTCGCGATTCAGTCGCCGCGATTCATTCTATTTCATTTTACATTCAAAAATGTCGAGCTGGAAAAGTATTACAACCGAAATGCAAGCTAATCGGCATGAATGAACTCTAACAACTCTGTCCGAGGCCTAAAATGGACTCAGTTCATGCGGTGCGATATGACAACGCATTCGCAAATCCATTCATTCCATACAAAACTTCTTCAGCAAACCTTCCTCTAACTTGCCTCAACCTGTTTACTCACTCTTGCAGACTCATTTCACCAAGTCGTCGATATTCAAGGCTGACCTAACATCACAGTGTCTGTCACGTGGATATTCTATTCTTTCTCATTTCGTTACACTTCAGAAAATGCCACTTATTATCGATGACTATGCATCTAGATTACTTTCAAAACTAAAATTCATGTGAAATGCGGGCCTTCGCTTTTCAAAACTTCCATGAATCTGCATTGGCTCAAATTCGTATGTAGAGCTTTCTGCAGAAACCAAACTTTGGCTAATCTTGCACTGCAATCTGTAAAACAAAATGCTTATCTCATAGGAACCCCTGCACTACACTACAACACAAAAGGTTTTTTTAATTGGAAAAACTACGAGTCTGCAAAAGTGATTTTGCAAATGTTTTACTTTAGCTCTTCTTTATCTTTTGGCTTGATGTTTATATCACTAAGTAGCTGAATGTATGGACTAGTGCTAGTAAGAAATTTTTTACAGATTTTCTTGCTAGCTAGCGCCACTTCATTAGTCCTTGCGACCAAACTCAAAATCGCGTTTGAAATGCCGTTTTTGAGGTTTAGTTCTACGATAGTCAAATGGCTTCTGAGCGATTATATTACAACGCAAATCTTTTTTTATTTTCAAATACAAACCATGAATATAGTTTTGGTTGATGATTTGAAGAGTCAACAAACTTTATTTGATTTACATAGAAATTTTCGCATCGATTTGAGAAAAGGAAGCATTTAAGTTTGTTAGCAAATATTTTGGTGAATTCAATCTTCTTCCATAATTTTCATAGTTGTATGATTTGAGAAAGAAACATGTACCCCAATTTCCGGGGTATAAGGCGCAGTATTTACCGCGCGCGAACTGTTTGTGTGACGACGTTCGCAATGCGCGGCGCCGCACAGGCAGCCAATAGCAATCTTTTCCAACCAGCAGTAGCTTTTTGTTCCCGTTCTTCGCTGTTTTCCTCTCAACAGTGATTTGTTTTAGAACAAATCTCTACTATCTTTTTGATTCTTCAAGAATGACAAGACCAGAACAAAAACCTCAAATTATCAGTAGTATCATTGAAGGATAGCGCAGTTTAAGTACCGCTAGCATTATTGGAAATGAAGGAAAGCACAAATGTAACACCGGTAACAATATTGGAAACAAAAGAAAGAATCATCTAAACACCATAAACACCATGTGAGAACTTCTTCCTACCTGTAGAAACGATATCACAATATACATTCTGAGAAGAGGAAAAAATACCTGGAGGCATGATTTATGGGCAGTGAAGAATGACCACAGCACACTGAGCTCACCTTTTTAGATTCAGGGAGCAATCATTTGGAAAGCGTTTTCGAGCCATTGTTCGCTGCGGCGGGTGCGCCTTATACAAGATGCGCCTTATACCCCGGAAATTAGGGGGTTTCAAACTTGATAAAAGACATAAAACTTTTTCCCATAAACCTCATAAACTAACTCTCTTATTACCTCAAAATGGGCTAAGAAACACATTCTCAAGAAATCGCAATTGAAAATGTGCAAAAAGGTTGAAAATTGGCTTATTCCCAGTTCACCTTGCTGCTGGTAAAATGGGCTTCCAAGTTCATTTAAAATGGAGGTAATCCCATTTTGCCCCATTCTAAATACTTTTCGCATAATTGTCTCGCAAGCGAAAGCTCAATTGGGGTTGAATCATTTTCACACCGCTTTGCCTCGTGGTTGCAATGAGGTATCGTCGAGTCATTCGTAACTTAATATGCTTATGCACACCAAACGCGTTAACTGACGAACAACAAAACTAAAGCCTGCTCATTTTTAGTGATTTCTGTTTGTTTCCTTGTCTCTTTTGTTTTTATTGGTTACATGTTAGTCAATATAACTTATTTCTACACTTTGCTGGGCTAAAAAATTTTTCACTGGAAAGTTACCAGTACGAGTGCCGTCGCTAACAGGGCTTAGTGTGCAATCTCACACATTAAGTTACGAATGACTCGAGGTTAAAAATTTTTAATTAATGCTAGCGAAAGCAGATTCCGATCAGTTTCTATCGTGAACAAATAAAATAGGGTTTGAAAGTCCATTTTCCTCCATTATGGACTTTCGTGGATATCATTACAGGTCTTGACTACTCGATTTCAGGCGTGAGCCAACTTTTTGCTCTTAAGTATGCGAAATGATTCATTGAAAATTCCTTTTAGAGTACCCTAGCTAAAAGAATGTGTGAGAAGGGCGAGGCATATGCGTGCAGTTTATCCACCCAAAATTGGCATTTCGGGAGTCCGTTTACGCCTAAGGCCTCTTTGCCTGCTCTCTCTTCAATCTCTTCGCTCTCTCCGACAGTGCGCATAAGCAGCGCAGAATACAGGCGCTGCGTGAGCGCAAATTCGGCAAACGGTTCGGCCTGGTACATATTGGGACAAACTGTAGCTATGCAAGCGAAACGTTGCTTATACACCGGAAAATGTGGTACCAAAGAAACTTTTGGCCTTTGCATATGTTTTAGCTAATCAACTAACAAAATGGTTGTTCATCATGTTTGGATAATGCCGGTATTGTCGGTGACATGTGCTTTGATCGCAATGTTTAGTGGGTAAGCGTCTTTAGCTTGAAGGTGCAAATTAGAACCTTAGAAAAGGTCGTTTCAGATACAGTATCGGAGTTGCGAAAGAACGCTTTCCTCCATTTTTCCCTTTCATAAGGTAGAATACAAGAGCACAGTGATTTACAAAAACAACTTTATTCTCGATGAATAGTGATGGAGGTGGTTATTCACCTGAAGCTAATATTTTCGGACAATTCTTGAACATGGCTGGGTTCCTTTGTCAGTTCAATAGATTCGTGTTTAAACACCAATACGCATGCTTTCAGATGTTATCACAGTTTATGTCGTACATATTCAAATTGTTGCATTCTATGGGCACGTTCTGAAATGGAACCGATCAAGGTGGTATTATTCTTCGTTATTACTGATGTATATAGGATTTTTGAGCGCACTAGGCATGACTATGGTGGCAAACTTTCGCGTGAGTACTATACTCCGATGTTTAAGCAAGAATAACTAATGTTTTCTCTCAGTACACAGAAATCCTACCTGCTCATATGATTGGCGCCATGATGACATTCATTGCAATGGTCATTTACGGCTGGGGACATGCAATTTTTGGGTAAGACAATCATGTACCTTCCATTGAAATTTGACGACCAGTGCCTATAGGGCCGACAGTTCACGTTAACTTAATGGAAAAGTGGTCGTAAACAACAACATCTTCTTAACTCTGGAAATGTGTTTTTATTTATTTTATAATATTTAAGCAACTGAGTGCGCACCAAATTAATATCGAAGCGATTAGTAAAAAGAACACATATGTCCACATAGCCGAATAGTGAACCACACATCAACCTATGCACCCATCCCTCTTGTGTAGAAGCTGCGAAAAGTACAGAACTTCCCTGTAGCTGCCATTAGACCTTGAAAACTTCAGTTTATTCTCTTCATGTAAATTGACAGAGAATTGTTGCTTTGGAGGGAGATGCTTTACAAAAGTTTGATTGCTAGTTAACTTTTTTTCGAAAAGTGATGTCCCGCTTTTATGAGGTCAGGCTACCCAAACGGAGAAAGCTAGCTGTTTATTCGGAGAATAGGTCAATAAATTCTTGAAAGTAAGAGGATTTACAGAACTAGACAAGCTGAATAAAGAAGAGCAGTTACTCGAAGTTCTCATGTCTTAAGTATGAATTTGGCGCATATTTTTGTGACTTCCCATAACGTTTTCTCCTCTCTTGAACGGTGAGCTCTCATTTTTTGGCATCAAATGGGCAGTGAGTCTCATTTTTGATAACGTGATAAAAAGAACTGAGTATGAGAAACTGAAGTTCAAGGTTTCGCGGTTCTTAGGAAAAATGGGTCGTGCACAAAGTGATCAGACACATCAAAGGGCAGAGTCAGGGCCCGGCACCGATGGTTTGGGGTCAAACTGGACTTCGTTTTTGGAGTTAGAAGCAACGGGGACATCGTTTTTATGAGGTCCTGGAGGAAGCGACAAAAAAAACACCACGAACATGTCAGGTTTCACGTGTTGAACGTGTGTTCTTTCGCAAGCGCGTGACTTTCAAGCAAGACTCAAACAAACAAATGGCTTATTTACAGCGCACAAACAATCACATGGCTCCTAATTTGGGCTATGTGTATACAATATTACTCCAAACTATGTTATGTAAAAAGTTTCCAAAACTTATGTGTCCTAATGTGCGTTCTCGAATTTGTTGGTTTCTAGATCAACTACCAAACCAACTGGGTTGGTTCGGAGCATAAATATCGGAAAGTTCACGTAAGTTTTGGACCTTTTTGATGTGGACGATTAGAACGGTGAAAAATCTATCATGTAGTGAAGAGAGCGGATCAAACCGTTGCCTCTTCCCTTTTTTTGAGTCAAAAGTAGTATAATTCGACGCGTTGATAAATATCGCGCTCCAATCACTTGCGGTGTCCTTTGAAATATGTGGCGAAAAATGCATCGCAGATTGTTGAGGCTATAGATTTGGTTGCCTAGGAGATTTTCGAAATTCCCAGCATCAAAACGGTACTATACTCAATGGTAGAGCCTTAATCAACTCGAAATCTTTTCTTTTTGCTTTTTTGTTATATTACATATCTCAAAATGCGCTTTTTAAACTTTTTATTGTTATTTTGATTGTATAAGGGTTTCTCTACTGATTTTTACGTCGAGAGGGACTTCGTAAATTTTCGCGAAGTCATGGGGGACTTCGTTTCCTAAAAACCTCCAAATCAACGCGTGCCGGGCTCTGAGCGGAGTGATAGGCATTACAAGGAATAGGAAGTTGATTTAATCAGCTCATTAAATAAAATCTTATATATAGAGCTGAATGTCTGTTTGTTTGTATGTCTGTCTGTATGCATGTACGTATGTTCCGAATAGAAAATTGCATTTCTAGACCAATCCGGACCAAACTTGGCACACAGACACTTTGGGCCCCGGCGGGTGTCATAGGCTGCTTTTCGTCATCGATCGATGTCGATTTAATCGATTTTTATCGATTTTTTTTGCGGAGTTCACCTACGGGGCTTGGAGTTGGCACAGGAGGGTAGTCGAGCATGCTGATTACGAATACGATTAGTTTTTAAGATCGTCCACTACTTTTAACGATTTTATCGACTTTTTGTAAAGTTTGACCTGCGGAGCTGGGAGTTTGTACAGGGGGGTAATCGAGCATGCTGATTACTAAAACAGCGAGAATAGTGATTTGGCATGTAGGCGTGGGCACAGGGAAAGGTTCGTACAGGAATTGGGATAGTGTTCTTTGACATAGTGTTTTGACAGAGCCGGGCGGAGCCGGGTAAGCCAGCTAGTTAACAATAAAAATGAAAATCTATTAACGGAACTTGAAGACAAATTAAGGTTTGACGCCCTCAAAAATTTAAATAAGACGAATACGTCAAATTCAAAAAGCATCCGTTAATAGTTGAGCTACGGAACAGAATTTGCCAAGAATTCGCATAATGGGATAATTCGACATGCTAAACAAGATTGTCATATTCATTTGTCGCTGACAATGAGATGGAATATCATATTTTAAAGTCAATTTCCAGCAAATTTGGTTGCATGGGTTTTTTGCCTGAAAATTGGTGAGGGAGTCCTAATCAAGGCACTGGCCAAGAAACAGCGCAAATTCTTCATTTACGACTGAAAAATCTGTCCTTAAACCCCCCCCCCCCCCCCTCCTGCTCCTGACCGTAATCCAGAAGGAGTCCGCTCACTTTAACATCACGTTCGCGCTGGGACCCATCCTGTTATGTCACGGCGCAGCCGCGAAGTATTTGGGTATAGATTTCTCAGTCGTGAATGAACCATTTGCGCTGCGTTTAAGCGGTGCATGAGCTAGAGCCCCGTCATCAGTTTCCAAGGAAAAAACATATATGCTCAGATTTGCGGACACTGCCTTTGTAGGGAGTGTCCGGACAGATCCGAAAGCACATAATATTAACGCATTACCGAAGCTGGTCCCCCATGCAAAGCTATAGCCCGGCTGCGAGAGCAAAATGCTGGAGCGAGAAAAACTCCGAAAGTTTGAACAGATTCTTTGATCCAGTGATGTATTAAAGAAGCAGCAAGTTGTACCAGCAATGCTATCATCGGCTGGCGGTGTGTTCTCCACAATTTCTTGCTTCGGTAAAGAGACAAAGTGAAAATTCTCGCCCACCTGCGGACTTCCCTGCTGCGTTAGAGCCCCGTTTCGTCGTTTTCGCGCCCTCCAGTGCGAATTTTCGAATTCAGCATAACGAAGCCCAGATAAGCAAAGAGTCTCAACTTCTTGCGCGGACACTGCCTTCAAGCTTACGAAAGGGGTCATTTTATGCGGATAATATATCACTTTTGTAATAAGCACTGCAAATTTCCACTAATTGTTTCAGCAAAATTTAAGACAATCCATAATTTCCCCCTTATACGGCAAACGTACCCTACCCTTAGTTGTGATAGCAGGATTTGAGTATTGAGTGCAGGAGGAGGTACCTTTTGCTTCGACTGGATTGGCGGCTGGAAAGCGGGGCTTCGTGTTCTACAGGGTGTTTGAAAAGTTTGTGGTCTCAAGTACTTCCAATTCAAATTTTGATGCGCTTTCTGTTTTATTGTGCTCATCAGGCCTAGATACCATTATTTCAGCGAAACCAGGTTTTCTTGTGGTTTTTTATTTTTTTATTAGATTGAAACACATCAATATAGCCTTCCAAACCACTTTCCTTGAAACGCATGTTACAAAAAAGGAAGCATAATTTACAGAAAACTGGTATACTTTCTGAAAGTCCTTTTTTAAAAGTTTCTTACATGTGCTTTTTTTCGTAGAAGTAAATTCTTTGGAATACTGTGCCTTGAAATAAAAAAGAGCCAGTTTCAGGATTTTCTTGTCAACAAAGCACAGCACCAAAAGTTTTTTATTTTATCTTTGAAACCTTCATGAACGTGCAAAATTTTTGAGGATTAATACAATGAAGATCAGAGAGCTGCAGTACAAATACATGTTAAAATAAAACTTCCAAAATTTTTTCGCAAACTTGTGCCGCGATTGTCTGCTGTAAGTTGGAACATGAAAAAACTTTTGTTTGCAACCTGCTGAGGAACTTTTAGTATATAAAGAAAGTGTAAACTTAGGATCATTTGTAGTAAGAAAACGGAAAGCTGTCTCCGTTTTACGGCGCTGAAAAGAAGTCTCACAACTCAGATAATGCCTCTTCGAAGAAGCTGAATAATTTGTTTGCTTTCAAATTTTTTTTAGGTATCTTGAGGCAAAAAACATTTTTCTTTGCTGGCGCAGTGGTTCCCAGGTTTAGCGAACATATATGGCAAAAAATGAGTTAGGATTCGCAGTTGAAGTACTTGCCACGAACTTTTCAAACATCCTCTTGTTAAGGCTAGAGGATGATCAGGGGCATTGTCGATTGCTTCGCGGGCGCGAGCGGCTTGTTAATTCACAAGGCCCCGCCTTCTAGCCGCCAATCCAGTTGAATCAAAGGTTAACTAGACCACCTTCAAGATAAAGTTAATCATGTTTGAAATTGACCATTTTAGTTGGGTGGCTCAATATTTGGAAAGCTCAGATCTAGCTAAAACTTGTTCTACAGGAGTTCTTTGCATGCTAATTACGAGTATATTGCTCACTATACTTGATAGGGACTCTGTTATGCCTACGGTATTTGGGAGGGGGGGGGGGACAGAAACTTTGTAGGGCGGGGTTTCAACGGTCGTGTGTCACACCTCTTGCTCTTGCATAAAAATATTAGATTGGTGCAAAAGTGATGCGCGTTTTCCTGGCCCTTGTTTCAGGAACAACGTTTCTCTATCAAACTTTCTCTTTGGGGAAAAACTTATACACTTTTAAGAAGCCCCTTTCATGCTTTATGCAAAGATGGTTGAAAGAAGCTTTTAGCCTCATTCGTTAGAAGTTAGTAGAGCTTCATACAACCGAACTCGAATCCAGGATTTCATTGCACTTACTTTTTTGGCCAGAATTCAAGCGCGAATAAAGGCATTACAATCTACATTGTGCATATTTTACTGTTTTCTTAGAAACAACCTAGTTTGAGATTTCGGCGCCTCAACATGAGCGGTGGTTTTGGCCATTCTGTGGCCTATGGGTTTTCTTTGAAAAG